AGCTTCGGAGAGGCATTGATATCTTTCGCTTTCGCTTAGTTCTTGGCGCTGTTTACTTCTGGTTGATATTCTGGCATTGGCGGAAGTAATGAATTCGTCTATAGACTGTTTGGTTTAAGCTGACTCGGGCACTGTCGGCTGTAGCTACAATCGTGTAGCTACAAACAGGGACGTGTCCGTTTTCTCTCTCTCTCTCGGATATCTTGTTTGACAAATTTACGAGGGCTCGGCGCCTGTGAGACTCTGAGTAGGCCGCCCCGCAATACACGCATGCACTGCAGGAAAAACGTTGCCTACCTACCAGGCGCTCTGAGGGCTTGCATAGGTCGAACTTGGCAAGGTTCGCATCGGCGAATGACGGACGTTACTCTCTACGGATGAACCAACACCCCACCCACCGTTCGTAAGCGTCGCTGTAGAGGAGCGTCGGCGCGAACATGTAGTACAGCAGGTGACTCAGGCTGTCGTTCGTCTCGACCCGGGGGCAGGCCAGGGCCCCCCGCACATGCTCCCGCAGGTACGCGTACGACTTCATCAACAGGCGAGCCTCGGAAGGAAACAGTCAGACATAAAGGTGCGTGCACAGGGTGGCGGGGGGAGGGTCACACTGGAAAAACAAAGTCGCATGTTTAAAATGTGTGAAGAGTTTAATGCACTTGCAAAGGCATTAGAATCGCACGCCGTAAGCTTCTGGGCTTTCCAACGCCATTACATAGTCATCAAGCTCATCATTTCTTTGGAACCCGTGCAAAAGTTGCGACACCTTTGTTTTTCCAGTGAACTTCCTACCTGCTCGAAGCAGAGCGCGCACGTGGCCGAAGCTGGCAGTTCCACCGAGTAGGCGGCCACCACGGGGACCACCAGCACCGCCACGTGCAGCAGTAGCGCGGCCAGCACCCACCCGCTGTCCCAAACTGCAGGCCGGAAAAGAAAAGGCAAATAAAATAAGCAGCTTACAGCTTTGTCTCCGCGTGTTCTCGCTGCTTTGTACGCACCGAATGGACTCGGGAGGCTGTCTCGCCCGCACCGCCAGCAGCGGAATCCGACGTTCGCGACGACAACGCCGGCGTTGACCACCAGCCAGAGGGCGAGCAGGTGCGCCAGGGTGCTGGGGCTGAAGCTGCGCGCGAGGATGGGCCAGTTCAGGATGGAAACGCTGCAATCAACACATCCGCATTCGCCTCATTTACCTCCCAATTAGTTCAATTACCTCATCTGTGAGACGACGGCGCCATGTTCACACCACCGCACTTTTTCAACAAAAAGAGTGATTTCACACGCTCGTTCACAAGTTAACCGGCATGAGTTTACAATTATTGGACCTCCAGTGCAAAGACCTACCTGCCGTCCCTCCTGACGTCATCCAGGACCAGGTTGACGAAATAAACCGCGCAGCTGAAGACGGCCACGTTGTACGCGGTCGTGGCGTGTACTGCTAAGCCATGACGGCATCCTCCAGGTGCCTGCGAGCGCACGGGGCTGTCGAGAGCCTTCAGGCTGATGACGGCCAGGGCCCCGTCCCGGGGCGCGTCCTGGGGCCCACCACCCTTCACATGAACAGACACGTCGACCACCATCCTGTCTCGAGCACGACCCGAACGTGGTCTGTGGGCCGCGGGCTGGAGTCGCGCTCTGTTCAGAGTACCGCGAGGCGATCGGCTAAAATCGAACTTGTGTGGTACCAGGGTGAAGAAATGCGGTATAATAAATCCATTTCTATGCGTCTCGTTAGACGCGTCACACACCGTTCCGAGTCGGCCGAGTCGGCACATATGTTACTTTGTAGCAATGCGGCGCCCCTCACCTTGCAGCACTCCATACAAAACAAGAAAGAAAAATGCCGCTCTCAGAGACAATTTGTTGAACAAATTATTAGCAAACGATACTTTATTTCACCTCATCACTCGGCCACACAGGGGGGAGGAGTAGGAGAAAAGGGGGGAGGGGGAGAG